TTCGAGCTTTATCAGGCTGTGGTCATAACTCCAGCCGTACAAAGAACTGCATTCACATGAAGTCAGTTACTTGAGAATTACAATTAGTTAGGAGAAGGATATGGGGGTCACTGATACAGGTAGCAGAGGGACCTTTCCAATGTACATGCGTCAACATCACTAAGTCATCACAAGATGATTTCAAGAGTCATCTTGAAGACCCTGTAATCGCCAAGGAGAGGAATGTGTCCACAATATGTTTCATATGTTCCCCAGTATTTGAGACATATTATTCAATTATCTATATTTAAAGGAACATACACTGTTATAGTTTTTAAATATGTAATTGCACCATGAGATAGATACTAAGGACTCAGTAATCACAAAGGCCATTTTCATAACACACTAATCCAAAAAGAGTATTTGAGACACACTAGTTTTTCAATTGCTTCTTCATGAAAACGGAACAGTGGCAGAAATTTAGAAGTTTCCTTGCACAGTAGTTTCTATTTGCATTACACACATATCTGATAATGCACACTGTATAAACACACTGTGAATATGGGAATAAGATTTTTGATTTTTCCACCTATGATACTAGCAAAGAAAAATCTATACAGCATAACTTTCTTCTAGATGCTGGATATCTGAAAAATTGTTAATATCCATTTGTCATTTAAGATTTAATAGCTCCAAAGGAGCCATTGCAACATGTAATATGAAAGCATTAAAAAATAACTTGCAAGATGCATCAACGGTAATTGTTTTGTGCTATCAAAATAGAGCTTATATATTACCTTTTATAATGCCATGACACTATAAAAAGTTTTAAGTCTTTATAAAGATATACTGTTTTCAAGTCCTTTGAAGTATAATTTTACTGAAGCAAACAATAGTATGTCAAAAATAAGTTAAAGCAAACTACTTTCACTTGCTTCAAACTTTCCGAGGTCAATGACTTTCCATCTAACTGCAAGGTCACCATCCCCTCATCCTCGTTACATCTCTGCCTTCGACTTCTGCCGCTCTCTCCTTCCTCACTCACCAGTCTCCTTGAGTACCTAAATGACCTCAGAAGTATTCTAGAATTAGAATATTTACATTTTCATTCCCTCTGTCTTGTTTTCCCCAGACCTCCACACGGCTGACTGAACAACTACCTTATTTATTCAGATGTCACTTTCTCGGGGCTTTATGGTTTCGTCTGTGTTTACAAATGCAATCCCCATCATGCGTGCATGTGTGCATGCATGCTCAGCCATGCCCTACTCTTTGCGACCCCATAGACAGTAACCCTCCGGTCCCCTGTCCATGCAATTGAGCAGGCAAGAATACTGGAGTGGGTTGCCATTTCCTTCTCCAGGGGACAATCCCAATACCCACAGCCTACCCTTCCCTTCTCTGATTTAGCTTTTCTCCCATCATTATCACTGGCGAATGGCGGTGATGATATATGTGAAAGAATACATATATGTGAAAGAATACACATATATGTAAATGTGCTGTGTGTTGTGCTAAGTTGCTTCAGTTCTGCCTGACTCTTTGCAACCCTATGGACTGTAGCCTGCCTGGATCTTCTGTCCATGGGATTCTCCAGGCAAAAATACTGGAGTGGGCTGCTGTGCCCTCCTCCAGGGGATCTTCCTGACCCAGGGATCAAACCTGCGTCTCCTAAGTCTCCAGCATTGGCAGGCAGGTTCTTTACCACTAGCACCACCTGGGAAGCTGGTATATGTATATATATTCTTTTAATTTTGTTTATTATCTGTTTTCTTTTCCCCACTAGAATATAAGAATGTAAATTGCAAAAATGTACAAATGCTTTTTTTGCTACATTTTCTTTGCTGACTAGATCTGTATTTGTCATATAGTAGGAAAAAGTAAGTGGTGATAAACATCTGAGAATTCTGTGCCACAGACTGATTGTAGCAGAGAAGAGACAGAAGTTACCTAGTTCAATTAGTGGATTTTTAATTATGTGAAAGGAAGTCTGCAAGTCTGTATATAAATGACAGTTTGTTTTCAGAATCATGTCAGAAAGTGACAGAAATACCAAAATATATTGTGGTATGTCCACACCACAATTCATGTCCATACCAAACTATTCCTTGCCATATCAGAGGAGCTCAAAGAAGACAGCTCTGATCAGCCCAAAGATAAACCCAGAAAATTAATTATCCTATAGAAAATGACTACAATGGCACCATAATTCAACTTTTTAAAACTGATTTAAGAATAGCAAGCTGGAAAGTCATCTGATAAAGAAGCATGTTGTAATAGATGAAGGGAAATTCTGGCTCAGAGGGGTGAAGTGGTCTCTTCACAATCTCTTCACCCCACAGACTGTAGCCTACCAGACTCAGACTCTGTCCATGGGCTTTCTAGGCAAGAATACTGGAGTGGGCGCCATCTCCTTCTCCAATGGATTTGAAGTCCTACTGTGTGCCAATTATCACTGTAGGCTTGGTGCATATAGCACTGAAAAGAATCCCTGGTTTCTTTCCTTCTCATGGAGGGAGACAGATATTTTTTAAAATAATTTAAATGTGCCCTAAGATAGAGATAAATGCTACGGATGAAAACAAAGGTAAACAGGTAGATGGAGAGCAGCTGTGGTGTGGGTGGGACTCGGGGCGGGAAAGGTCGTCACTGGAGCTCAGAGCTGGAGAAGGAGGGGTCAGAGGGGGTCTGAGCGAAGATGGCTCTGGACGCAGGAAAGCGAGTCTCCATGGAGGGGCCCGCCTGGCCTGTTTGAGGAGCACCAGGAGGTCAGCATGATCAGAGCCAGAGGAGCACGCGGTAGGGCGGCAAGGAAGAGCCAGACCTCCGCGGGCCTTTGGCTAGTCTAAGAAATGGACTTTGTGAATAAGACCAGATGCCGCCTGGGGACTCGGAGCTGTGTCAGAAGCTGACTTGTACTTGAAATCTCAGCTTGGCTCTTTGTTGAAGGTAGACGTGAAGGGACAAGGGGCGGAGGGGGACGGGGGACCGGTTAAAGGCCATTATGGGATGTGCGGGCGAGTGGCCCAGGCTTGGACCAGAGCAGTCAGGGGCGCGGGGTGAGGAGGCCGGGATGCTGAGTAATGAGTGAAGGCGGAGCTCGTGGACGTCCCTGATGGGGTGCCGGAGGAGGCCGGAGAGGGGGCTTTGTCCCAGAACTGGAGCAATGGAGCTACCGCCTCCCGAAATGGGAAGACCGCAAGCGGGGCACGTTCAGGATGTTTCTCTCAACCTAGAGCTGTCTGTCTGTCTGGCTCTTTTTGACTCTGTCTGTGAGTGTGAATGTCTCTCACTGTCTTCCTTTGTAAGTTATCCTTCGGTTGTTGAAAAACTGGATTGTGTGATGTATACAGTTTTCCGCAGCATGGGTTTTGCTGTTTGCGTTTGGTGTCATTTAACATCTACCCCTCCCCCTGTCTTTTCTAGAAGTTGGCAGGTATGTCTATAAACTTGGTGAAATCCATGTCTGAGTTTTATCCACACCCCCCACCTGAAGTGCTATATACCTGCCCCCGCCTCCAGAGCTCCAGGGGCACATCTCTGGTTTCACTTGTTGGATATATTTGCAGCCATGAACAGTCCTACTTAGACCCTACTGACTTGTTAGAAGTTTCCAAATGATGACACTCTTAGCATTTGGCCTTTGTTTAGGGGCTGAAATATTTCCACAAAGGGAGTTTTTAGTTACTTTAAGATTCATATAACTAAGGTACACTAAATTCTGGATTCTTTGCCTTTATTTACCAGTTTTCAAAATAATGAATTCGTTACCTAACACCTTCCAAAATTTGAACATTTCATTTTTGTGAATTCATGGGATTAAATATATTTGATGTATTTTAATTTATTGCAGGAAGTTCTTATTGATGTTAATTTAAATCTTTTTTTATTTTTATTTTTTTAGCCTTGGAGAATTTTTGAACCACACTTTGTCTCCAATAGTTTGTTTCTGAAGTGGCAGCATGTTCCAGCCTCCTCTTAGCTATCTCTAGTCCTGGAATCAGACATTTCTCCAGGACCCTAGTTTTCTCTTAATGGAAAATGGTATTGAGTGATGACAACTGTTGCCAGAAGTTGGTCCTTGTTTAGGGAGATTTTTCAGTGGAAAGAACTAGGGCATATTTTTAAAAAGATAACAACATCATCATGGGTTCATAGTGATGCTTCTAATTCAAATGCATAACTTTGTAGGATTTTAATTTCATCTCATCAATCTTCTAGATGCTTCTCCTTTTCACATATTGAAAGTTTCAGGGTTCGAAACACAAGATAATTGCTGATTTGCATCATTCCACATGTATAGAGCATTTCAATAACAGAGCAGGCAGTGTCTAATTTTACCTGAAAGGTCAGGGTGAGAAGAACATTTGTTGACAAGATGAGGGTGCATACTCTGATTGCAGCGAACAAAGCTCCAGAGACTAGAGAGCACGTAGCTCATTTAAGAGGGAGCAGAGATTGTTCTGCAGGAGGAAAGAAGGGTTAGAGCGCTGGGAAGGCATTGGAACACAGTGAGCCTCATGTCCAATGCTGCAGGTTTTAGAGCGTCCCACCAGATACTCAGGCTGCTTGTTTTAAGATATCTTGTGTTCGTTTTTAATAAAAGAAATACTACTTTTCTACTTTGTCAATATACACAGAACTTAGGTGTAAGGAAAGGTAGGGGTTATTTTAACGATTACTATCCTTAACTCAAAGATTAATCCAAAGATTGAAGGCAAGAGGAGAAGGGGACGGCAGAGGATGAGGTGTTTGAATGGCATCACCAACTCAACAGACATGAGTTTGAGCAAGCTCTAGAAGTTGGTGATGGACAGGGAAGCCTGGTGTGCTGCAGTCCATGGGGTGGCAAAGAGTCAGACACGACTGAGCGACTGAACTGAACTGAATCCTTAACTCTGTTCTATATTTGTCCATAGAAAACAACCAGTGAGAGTGCAGCTCCCTTGTTTTCTGACTCTTGAAGATGCACTTGCATACTAATGACCCATTGTCCTGGCCTTTCTGTCCCCACAGAGGACAAAGTGTGGACCATCGTGTCTCACGATTTGCAGATGCAGACGACAGTGGTGGGCTACAACCCAGAAAAGTACTCAGTAACACAGCTCATATACAGCGCCTCCATGGACCAGATCAGCGCCATCACCAGCAGCGCCGAGTACTGTGAGCAGTATGTCTCCTACTTCTGCAAGATGTCGAGGTTGTTGAACACCCCAGGTAGGCTGAGAATGGAGTGTTACTTTTAATTACTATCTCAGCTGGTGTTTGGAATTACCTAAACAATCCAACAGGTGTGGCTTATTATCTTAACAGTCCAGTCTTCAAAGTGCAGGCAGCTGTGAAAGTAAAATAGAACCACTTGTTTTCTGGAGAAGGAAGTTAAGAACATACAGTTTTTGTTAAAAAAAAAAAATCCATTGTTTCTTAGACTTTTTCAGTTTTATATGCGTGTGTGTGTCTGTGTGTGAATGCTTCTAATGCATAATTATCAGTATTTGCTTTGGGCAAAAGTTTGTGAGAATTCCTTGTGAACTTTCAAGTAATTCCCTCTGAGTTCTTCAGTTGTCTTTAATGTACAGATGAAAGAATTCCAAAGGCTGTCTGTAGGTAAATAGCATATAGAATAGTGATAGAATTCAGAGCTCTTCATTATCTGTAGTCATTTAATAGTATCTGTTGATCTCAGAAAGTCTGCCTAATTTTTGTTGTTGTTTGTATTTTTTTTCATGATGCCTTATTTTAACAATGCTTAAGGATTTATATGTGTGTGTTGGGGGTACAGAAAATTGGAGAATTTATAAAGGATGTATTGGAAATATCTTTACCACAAGAGACATATACTTTGGGATTCTTGGCAGTAAATTCAATACGTTGACAGCAACCTAATCTCTCCATCTATAGTATAAAATAGTAGAAATAAAGCATATGCTTTGAGTCAAAGAAACAGGTTCATACTTTTCATCCTGGCTTCTTCTTGGGTATGTGACTTTGGGGTTCACTGAACCCCTCTGCCTCAATTTCCAATGTCTTTCAGTCAAATAGGGATCCTATTTCAGAGTGATTGTGAAAATTTAATGAGATAATGTACTAAGGGCTTATTGTAAGTCTTGATGCACTTAAGAACTTAATAAATAGCAAATAGTGTATTGATTATTTTTAAATTATTAACCAAGTTTGGAAGTGGCATTATGTCAGAGACCAATGGGCTGTTTTATGCCCTAACTCATTGTTGTATTGGGCCAGTGTTGCAGGGAGTTACTTACAGAGAATACTTATAAGCAGAACCGTATATACTGTTTTGAAGATTACAGTGCTTTTATGTATAAAGCCTTGTACTCACATTACAGACAAGCATAACCTAGGAACTGTAAGAAAGTAAAATATGTAAAATATGAAAAGGATTGGTTCAGACAATTAGTGCTTCTGCTATTTAGAGAAAGAAGACTTGACCGTGGCTGCGATGTTGAAGTGATGCTTTATTAAAGACGTTGAAAGGCAATTTGTGGTGGGTAAACGAGAGTCAGGAAGACAGAATACGAAAGATCCTTGGGTCATGGTGAGAAGTGTCTTAGCAGAAGTAGAGTTCATGTTGAAGAGCAGTAAGAAATAAGGTTGAAAGTAAAAATAGGAGACACCATGAAGGAAACTAAATGCAATGCTGCAATTTTTCCTGATGGCCTGGACTTCTCAGGTTTTAGCATGCATGCAAATAACCAGGAGGGATTTAATAAAATGCAAACGGCAGGGCTCCATTCCCTGAAATTCTGACTCACTGGGTGTCAGGTGGGCTCCAGAATTTTCATTTGTACTAAGTGCTATGGACTGAATTATGTCACCCAAAATTCATATGTTGATATCCTAATCCCTAATATGGCTGTATTCGAGATAGGGCTTTTAGGAGATAATTAAGATTAAATGAGGTTTTAAGACTGGGTTCCTAATCTACTTGGACTGGTGGTTTATAAAAGAGGAAGAGTCAAGAAGACATCTCTCACCAGAAACCGAACTGGCAGCCCCTTGATCTTGGACTTACAGCCTCCAGAACTGCAAGAAAATAAATGTCGATTTTTTTAAGCCAATTATTTGGTAGTATTTTGTTATGTCAGTCTGAGCAGATTAGTACAGTGAATTCCCAGGTGGTGGTGAAACTGCTGACCCAGAGACCACTCTAAGACCACGTGTGGTCCAGAGACCACATGTAACTGTGTGTCCTGAAATCCCTTTAAGTTCCTACAGCTGTTTTTCTATCCACCTTCAGCTGTCATAATCTTTTATTTATCTATTTATTTATTATTATTATTATTATTTTTAACTGGATCCTGCTTCCAGTGCTGGGAAATGTCAACCAAGGACTGAGAAAGCCCAGGGCGCTGGGTGCAATGAATGAGTCCCATCAGCTTGTCTGCGCTGTTTCATGAGGGAGAGCGCCTTGTCGAAGTTCATTCCAGAGACTCCAGTCCAGGAAGGGACAGGCCTGAGGGAAAACTGCTGACTAAGAAAAATAAATTGGTACCCTGAGCTTTATTTTCCTTATTTCTTCCATTCTTCTATTAAACTCCAAAGTCAACTTTTACTTGTTTGCATTTTGCTCTGGTGGTTAAAAAATACAGTGCAGCTTCCAAATAAGTTTATCTTACAGTTCAGTTCAGGCAGCATGAGAATTGGGCTGGAGGTAAGGGAAGAAGTGGACTTTTAGAGCCTCTGGCCTTGTATTTCCTTCCTTCCCTTCCCCCAGCCACCAAGAAGCCTCTTGCACTTATTACCCTCCTTTTGAAAACACAGGATGTCGAAAACCATCAGGAAACATGGGATAAATCTATCTTTAAGCAACACTTTAGTTATGTTTTCTAACAATAAGCTAAATGCACTTCTCTTCAAACTCCAGACACCTTTTCAGGAGAAGAACTACCAAATTGAAATCAGGAATGAATTGTTAATCTGCACAGTAAGCGCACTATTTTCTTTGTGTTTCCAAACATTTGCAGATTATTATTGTCCTTTATAAACTGTACCTTGAAAATAATATTACCACGTGCTTCTTGCCTTAGGAGATACCTTCCATATATCAGCTTTTACTCACATAGAATTGGTAATTAATAAATGTTTGCTGACTGGAATGAAATGAAAAATACATTGTTTTAAATATTACTTCATCCAATATTCAGGCAGTTGTTTTTAAACAAGCGTGAACATCGGAGTTTTCAGGTGGCTCATCACAATGGTGATTCCCATGATTTTGACTCGGTAGAACTTGGTCAGGGCACAGGAATGTCTGCTTTTAACAAACATCCATGGGTCAGTCTGTGAACTCTATATTCAAAAATGCCATCTTTAATTTATGGCATGAGGATAAAATTTGGATTTTAAAGTGTTAGTCTTCTGTGTGAAAGAAGATTAAAGGGAATATTAGAACCGTCTGACCAATGGAAATAAAATGGCATACATAACTACCTGTTCCTCCAGCTAGAATAAATTGGCATAGTGGCATTTTAAAAATCCTTTTCATAGACTAAATGTTGTAAAGTGAGTTTCAGCCAACTGTTCTTAGTCATTTTTCACATCCCAATTTCTATTTTCCGGGCTAACTAATCAGTAGACAGCTGAGGCAAGGAAAAGGAGTGGTTGATACAGCAAGTTTTCCTTGTTACTGTATTCATATACATATGTCCAAGAATAAAAGAACACAATTTAATACAAATTTTTAATTTGCTATTTTAAGGAGCTGATGTTTGCTGTAATTGGTTTTTTCCTTCCTTCCTGGTAACATTCCTTTTTAAGTATCCATTTACTCGTTCTTAACTAAGGCTGAATTATATTGAAACTTCTGCAGTAGTACTTGTGACATCTGTTTGAATACAAAGTATATTCATTATAGTCGAGGCAATTAAGATGAATATCAAATGGGTTTGTAATAGCTTTGCACTTAAAATGTTATTCTTGGTTTTAAGAGCCTTTTCCTCAAGTGTTCATTTGGGGCTCTATAATTTCTAGTGATACTTATGATAAAGAGTTGATTTTGTATGTATATGGACCTCAATTTTGTTTTGATAAATGTTTGATGGTATCCAACCATTAGCTAACAAATGTAGATTTACCCATTAATGGTCTTTCACAACTTTTACAAGAATAGTAATATATGACTTGCAATGTTATCACTTCTTTTTATTACTACAAAAATTTTAAAAAGAATCAACTTTAATGCTTTTGCCATTCTTTATGGTCATACCTATTCTTGCAAAGTATCTATTAATTCAGTCGTGCTTAATCAACTTTACGAAAGACATAGAAACAAGACAAAGTTATTTTATTTCATACCAATTTGAAATTATAAATAAACTCTACCCATACAGAAAGAAAAAAAAAACATTCATAGCTATCCAAAACCACAAGGATGTCAATACATTTTGTATTTATATCCCTAGAACTGCAAATATACTGATATCTGAAATTAATGAAAGGCAGAAATCTTTAAACAATGAAATCTACTTCTGAAAATAGATATCTCAGGAGTTGAATTTGATAAATTAGACACCAGTAGAAGTTTCATTAGTTACCACACAAGTTGTCTCAGTCAACAATCCTAATGCTTTTAGATGGCAAAAATATTTCTCTCTATTTGGACAAAACCTTTTAGCCTGATTTTAAATGTTTACCTGTGTATCTAAGATGCACTGTTGTCATGTATTTATTTTATAAAAGTTATACTTTCTAATATAGCATTTTCTGCTAAAGTATTCCCTACATATATAAATATTTATTTAATTATAGACATATAAAGTTGATGTGTTTTTTCTATTTTTATGACTATATTTAGTGTTGTTTTCATTGGTTCCCAGTGCTCATTTCTTTTCACTGTGTGATGTAGTTTTGTTCTCATAAGTCATAGTTCTATAGTTTATTTTTTAGAAAGAAGAAATATAAATTATTCATACTTCTGGATAGTTTACTGTTGGATTTTGTATCTATTGGAAAGGAGTTATGTTCACAACTGCCTGGAAAGTAAGCTGCATAAAATTCAGTATACTTTAATGTTACTACTCTATGATTTGGTGAAACACAAGAAAGGGCTTCTCTGATGCCTCAGCAGAAAACAATCCACCTGCAATTTCAGAGACCCAGGTATGATCCCTGGGTCAGGAATATTCCCTGGAGAAGGAAATGGCAACTCACTCCAGTATTCTTGCCTGGAGAATTCCATGGACAGAGGAGCCTAGCAA